GCTTTAATATTCTTTCTCATATTCTCATATTCTTTCACTAACTGTGATCTTTTAATATAATGGGTTTTATTTTTCCATAAAAACCGAAAAATAATAGAATTGGCTTTCTTAATATTATTTGAAGAGACATACAGGGAGTGACATGGATAAATTAATTTTGAGATACCTTCTGCTTTTGATAAAATTACTCTACCAAAGATTGTAAGATCTCTGGTTAGCCAGCGACTTAGAGATCTCTTCATATCTGTTAAGCGATTAGCTATATTCACGTCTTCTCTTCTGAAAACATTTTTAGATATCATTATTCCAAGATATTTTACTTCAGATGCAACTTTAATTGAAGCAATACTGGGATCTGTACATGTATGAATGGGAAGTAATTCACATTTCTTGATATTTAAGGATAGCCCTGACGCTTTGGAAAAAATAGAAATATTATTAAGAGCTTTCTATATTTATCTTTTAAAAAGATGGCTGTGTCATCCGCGAACTGACTTATTTTAAATTCCTTATCGAATACTGTAATACCTTCTATTTCTGGATTGTTCTTAATGAGCATTGTTAACAGATGAGTGGTCGAAACAATTTCGGGGAGATTGGGCAGCCTGACGAATACCACGTAGCACCTTGAACCTCGGGGTCATTCCAGGGTTTAATGAAACAGAACTATAAATGTCGGTATAAAACATCTTAATAATATTACAAAACTTTTTACCAAAACCTAGCTGTAAAGTGCAATGCTTCTAATAAAAAACAATGTTCCACAGTGTCAAAAGCCTTATAAAAATCAAGAAATAGCACCCCAGGAGTATAAACTGCACAGCACTGAAAAAAATATAGCTAGTCATAGCTCAGGGAGCTATTCACACTAATGTTAGCATGTTCTTGGTTAGCTAGAATGTTAGCACTTAGCTTGCCAGCCATAGTAGTTCATTAGCACTGTGAATAGTCACTGCATGACCAAGCTTCTAGGGCCTTTTAGAGATGTGCAGTGCCACTTCCTCAAGCACATACCGGGCCTCAAGAATGAAAATTGTAATGAACAATGAATGCAATCTTTCACCTCTTCTGTCTTCAGACACCGGGGTGGCAACATGTCACAATGCATACATAAGCTGATTTGCTCAACAGACTTTTTTAAAGCTTCATACAATTACATGCAGGTAATTTATTTTAATGAGAAACTGTTTTGTGAAAAATTAAATCATGTAACGAGATGACACGTATTTATGTGGACACTTAATCACCGTGACTGACATGTACACAAAGCAGAACTGTTCTGTTTCACCATCACTGAAGCTCCATTATGAAAACGGAAGAGCTTCTATTTTTTTCACGTGTGAATCATCAGGCTGAATCTCTAATGAATCTATGATGATATTACGGGTGGAAACTTGTCCAGAATAAAGCTAAGCATATTCAAACTTCTGAAGTGAAGAGCTTTGAAAGTCGGATCACTCTGTCTAAGCCTGGTAATTGATTTTCTGTCTGCTATCTCCAAAGTCTTCTCTCTGCTTCGCTCTCTCTGTACCTCTGTCCCTGTCTCTCTTTTATACCCTCTCTCTCTGGCTACTTATTTCCCCTCTGTCTGTGCTCACCACCTCACTCAGCCATCCAGCGGGCCTGTCCTCATTAATCAGGCGTGTAGGCAGCATGAAGAACAAGGGTATGTTAATATTCTCTGTCAGGAGCCTGCTGTACAGCGCTCATGCTTGCTTGCGTGCTTACTCGTCTTCCTACCTGCTAGCCCTCCTTGCCTGGCTGTCTGCTTCCCCTCCTGTCTGCCAGTCTGCCTGTAGGTGGCCATGCATCAGCAGGGTTTAATGAGGCTTAAAGGACAGAGGTTTTGACATGGAGCTTTGCTGTCCATTTACGTCAAAGCCGTGAACACAAAAGCAGCCCTTCTCTGGGCTCCTGGCCTGGTTGCTCATGCTGTATGTAGAGAGGGATGGTATGATCTTGGGCTTGTCACTTTGCTTATCATAAATTACAGGCTTATCATACTGACAATCTATAATGTGTCACATGTAATCAATAAAGGATCAGGGCAAGGATGCTGTTTAGTGCATATAAATAATAGAGGATCAAAAAGGTCAAGCATGCTCCTTGGGTTATAAAGGATCAATGTGCGTAGACAAAAAAAAAAAAAAAAAAAAAAAAGCCTACATGAACCCAAAATAGCTCACCTCACCCCTTCGGCACCACTAGAGCCACTGAGGGAAATGGATGGGTGAGGTAAGTGTAAGCCGCTCTGGGCATGAAGACTCAGGTGGAGCGCAGAGAGCAAACCACGGACCTGAGATTTCTTTCTTTTTTTTTCCACCTCGCTGTCAAGCCAGATCACACCTTTATATGTCGTTCTCTGGCTTGAAAGAGAGTGGCATCGCCCCTTGAGGTAACTTTCACCTCCTGTTTGCCATAGATAACAAGATAATAAGGACACAAATTCATAAATTCTAACAACGTATACTTAGTGACGCTACCTACTCGCAATCTAAACCACAGAGCTACACAGCATTTAGTTTGTCGCACTTTTTGACTATGCAGTATGCACTTAACCGCTGACCTTAATGCAGAGCGGTGTCCAGAGCTCTCAGAGGAAAAGGGCTTCAGCAATTGCAACAGGAAATATTGAATCTAAGAGGTTTCTGTATTAAGCCACAGGTGGATGTTAAGTGAGTGCTTTTCAAAAGGGTTAGGACATTTTCTAGCTCTCATGCTGATGCCTTGTTTGACAAAAGCAAGCGCACAAGCCCGAAATGGGGAGTCTGTGAGTGGCCCCCCTCTATGCCGCTGTAACTCATGTCTATGAATTGACATCAGCCCTTCAACTATGAAAACTAGGTTGTAAAAACAGATTTTCTTATTATCCAGCATGTTGTTCTTTCTCTGCAACGCTGATGGTCACCATTTGACTGATATCAGTTTGGACTGCCTGCCTAATAAGCAAAAAACAAAACAATATGCCAGCCTAACCTAAAAAAAAAGAACATCTGAAGAGATCCAAGCTGTCAATCATTTCCACCTGCTGCCCAGCCGCACTCCCTGCACTGACTACTAACCAACGTATGCCTCCTTCAGATCTGCTCTGTTTTGGATAAAAAGAGAGAGCTGTGGTGCTGAAAAAAATAACATATTGCTTAAGTCATATTCCAAATGAC